CATCCATCCATCCATTCACCCACACACACACACACACACACACACACACACACACACACACACACACACACACACACACACACACACACACACACACACACACACACACACACACACACACACACACACACACACACACACACATCCATCCATCCACACACACATACATCCATCCATCCATCCACACACCCACCCATCCACCCATCCATCCATCCATCCATCCATCCATCCACACACACATCCATCCATCCATCCATCCAACCATCCATCCACACACACATCCATCAATCCATCCACACACATCCATCCATCCATCCACACACACATCCATCCATCCATCCATCCATCCACACACACATCCATCCATCCATCCATCCACACACACATCCATCCATCCACACACACATCCACCCATCCATCCATCCATCCACACACACATCCATCCACCCATCCATCCATCCATCCATCCACCCACACCCACACATCCATCCATCCATCCATTCACCCACACACACACACACACACACACACACACACACACACACACACACACACACACACACACACTCATCCATCCATCCATCCACACACACATCCATCCATCCATTCACCCACACACACACACACATCCATCCATCCATCCATCCATTCACCCACACACACACACACACACACACACTCATCTATCCATCCATCCATCCATCCATCCACACACACATCCATCCATCCATTCACCCACACACACACACACATCCATCCATCCATCCATCCATTCACCCACACACACACACACACACACACACTCATCCATCCATCCACACACACATCCATCCATCCATTCACCCACCCACACACACACACACACACACACACTCATCCATCCATCCATCCATCCACACACACATCCATCCATTCACACACACACACATACACTCATCCATCCATTCATCCATCCACACACACATCCATCCATCCATTCACCCACACACACACACACACACACACACACACTCATCCATCCATCCATCCATCCATCCACACACACATCCATCCATTCACACACACACACACTCATCCATCCATCCATCCATTACTTAAACACCACCTTAAATACCCTAAACTTTTCCATCGACTTGAAACACTCCATTCAGGAAGTAGAAATCTGCTCACGCCTGTTTTTGGGACTGCACAGTGACACAGTTGATAGCACTTTTGCATCGCAATGAGAAGGTTGCTAGTTTGAATCCCGGCTGCAGCCTTTGTGGTGTTATCGTGAATAAATGGGATTTCCCTCACAGACCAAAAGCATGCATGTTAGGACCCTAAAGTGTCCCCAGGAGTGACAGGTTTGTGTCTCTATGTGTCTCTGTGATGGAATGAGACCTCCTCAAAGTGTCCCCAGGCTCGCCCCAGTAACAGCTGGAGATATTAACCAAATCCCCACGAGCCTAGAGAGGAATGAAGCAGTTTAGCAGATGAGTGAGTCCTGTTGTTGCAAACACAGCCTGGCTCTCAGTGATGGTGCATTCACAGACCAAAGAAAAAGTTCACATTTTTTTTATTTTGGACTGACCAATCACAGACTAAACTAAACATGACTAATTCCGGGCCAATTCCATTAACCGAGTGATTTTTTTGGATAAATTTAGTCCCCAGCCCAGTTGGGATATTGAATCGCATCCTCAGCAGACTCCTGCAGAGGAGCTCCTCCGAGAATATAAACAGGTGTGTCCAATCCTGGTCCTCAAGATCCCCTATCCTATCCAGCTTGTTTTATATCTCACCCTGCAGATTCAGAGGCTCAACCACCTGTTCAACAGCCCCTCAGGCTCTGTGGAACACTGCCAATCACCACTGATTCAAATCAGGTGTGTTGAAACAGGGAAGCGTCTAAGACATGCTGGATAGGGGCTCTCGAGGACCAGGACTGGACACCCAGACATTACTGAATGAGGTTAATCAGGAAAACGTCAGGCGCTATAACTCGAGTCAACCAAATGCTGACGTTGACTAAACTTTATCATAATTTTAGCTTTTCAGAGTGGCAATCTTCAAAAAAGTTATACGTATTCTAATTTTTATCATTTGTAAACCATGAGTCAAATGAAATGTTTGTGAGAAAACTAAGAAGTATTATATAGAGTTAGCTTTTTTTCTAGTCTGCGTTCATTTTCTGTAAAGACAGTTTCTCCAAATCCAGATTGTTGCACAAGTCTGTACAGATGTCTTCTCTCATTTCCTTCTTATTTCCTTTAAAGGAATCAAACTTCTTGTAATCATTTCAAACAGCGTTGAAGAATATTTGTACAGGTTTACTGATAACATATACAAAGTAATTTCACATGATACTATACTATATTATATTATATTGTATTGTATTATATTATATTATATTATATAAAATTATATTACATTATATTATTTTATATTATATATTATATTATATTGTATAAAATTATATTACATTATATTATTTTATATTATATATTATATTATATTATATAAAATTATATTATATAATATTATTTTATATATTATATTATATATTATATAATATTATATTAAATAAAATTATATTACATTATATTATTTTATATTATATATTATATTATATTATATAAAATTATATTATATAATATTATTTTATATATTATATTATATATTATATAATATTATATTAAATAAAATTATATTACATTATATTATTTTATATTATATATTATATAAAATTATATTATATTATATTATTTTATATGAAATTATATTATATAATATTATTTTATACAATATATTATATTATACTATGTTACGTTACGTTATATTCCTATTTAGTTCATAGTTTAGCTTTCTTTGAATGCTTTTAAGGAATATTGAAATATTATATTTTTTGTTTGCTAGGCCACCTCATTCTGATTCGTGAATCATTCAAGTGCAAGTATATAAAACCACAAATGAACTAAAATTGGACCCTTGAATTAGCTTTATTATTGATTCCATGTAACAATCTCAAACAAACCACAATTTGTCACTCCCAAAAATACAGTAAACATACATCTATAATGTTAGAATGTTGTGAAAATGTTCTAAAATATGTATTCCTCCTTATTGTATTGATTCATTAGACGTTAATTTCAGGCATTTATATCTTGTAATTTTGACGATTCTCGCTCACAAATAAGAAAACCTAAATATAAGTCTCTCAGAAAATTAGAACATTGTGAAAATGTTAAATATTGAAAACTCGTTATGTCAAGCCCTTGTTTGTTAATTAAGCCCAAACACCTGCAAGGGTTTTCTGAGCCTCTTAAAGGTCTTGGTCTGGTTTGATAGGAACACAATCATGGGGAAAGCTACTGATCTGACTTATGTTCATATAGACAGCTGTTGACACGTCTTACCTGGTGTCTTACCTGGACTAAGGAGAAAGAAGCTAGACGGAAATTCTCTCTGCAGATGAAAGTGATGTCTGCACGTCATTTGGTAATTAAGGTCCCAGAGTCTGGAGGAAGAATGTAGAGACATGGGATGTCCATTGTAACGTTTGTGATGTCAGCCAGTGATGTTTTGGGGCTCCGTGTCATCTGCTGGTGTCGCTCCACTGGGTTTTCTGACGTCGACAGCCAAAGTCTACCGGCATTTTTGAGCAGTGAATCTCAACTGGTGGCCCGCGGGCCACATCCGGCCTGCCAGACCTTTCTACCCTTTGGGCCCTAACGCCCCCCAATTAGGGGAATTTGAAGTTTAGCAGCAAAATTCACATCCCAAATATCAATCATTGTTTACATTCTCCAAACACATTAAAACTACAATCAAAACAGTTTAGATGGAAAACAAAGCCATTTTAAATATTAATAAATTAATATGAGCTGGCCCTCCCAGTGTCTGCTGGAGAAAACTCCGGCCCTGCACAAATGTTATTGAGCACTCCTGTTTTAGAGAATGTCGCGCTTCCTCCTGTTGACGAGTCGATTGGAAATGCTAATTTTGTTTTCCAGCAGGACTTGGCACCTGCCCACACTAAGCCAGGCCTGACCTGAACTCTCCTCCATGGAGAATCTAGGAGGAAGATGAGAGACACCAACAATGCAGATGACCTCAGCAAAGCAACAGACTGATCACCTACATGCCAACCATCTTTTTTCACGATATTCAGATTTTTTAGATGTACCAGCATTGTAGAACCAAAATGTTGGTTTTCAAATAGTTATTGGCTGATATCCTGGAATAGCCTACAGTAGTGTGGGATCGCTGCGAGGTTAATTTTACTGAAAATAGCCAGGTAAAAAAAAAAAACAGTTTAAACCTTTTTGGGAATAATGATCAAGATCATGTGAAAGGCTCTCGATTTACCAATCGATCTACTGCCCAGTCCTCACCTATGGTCATGAGCCTTGGGTAGGCTAACAAGATCGCAGATACAAGCGGCCGAAGTGAGTTTTCTCTGTGGGGTAGCTTGGCTCGGCTTTAGGGAAAGGGCGAGGAGCTCGGGCATTCGGGAGGGACTCGGAGTAGATTCGCTGCTCCTTCATATCCAGACGAGTAAGTTGAGGTGGTTTGGGTATCTTGTTAGGATGTCTCCCTTTTCAGGCATGTCCTGCCGGCAGGAGGCGCCCAGGTCGACCCAGGACACGTTGGAGAAAGTACATCTCCAAACTGGACCAGGAACACTTTCGGGTCCTACCAGAGGAGCTGGCGGAGGTGGCCGGGGAGAGGACGGTCTGGAACTCCCTAGTTGGGATGCTGCCCCCGCGACCCGGACCCGGATAGACGGAAGAAGACGAGATTGTTTGAAGTTATTCAAAACAATTCTGGCTCCTTATATCATCATCATCATCATCATCATCATCATCACACCGAACCCAAGTGAAATGGGGAAATAGATCTAAAAACTGCCAGCTGGGTTCAGAGGCGCAATGGGAAGCCCCATCATCCATCACAGGGTTAAAGGTACAGTAGCGTGCGTCACTTCTTACGCACACGTTACGCTGCGATCGCACGCGAGGAGGAGGCTGGTCCTCGCAGCGCTGCGGCTCCGTCCTCATCACTGATCATGTGCCTCACTCCCAGGCTGTCTCCGGTTCCTCTGCAGGAAGTCGGACCGCAGCTTGTGTCACCTGTCTCTTTCTGATAGCCGAAGGTTTGTTTTCTTCCGCCTTCTGCGCGTCTCAGCGGCGCCCTCGGCTCTGCTGGGCTGGGCCCGAGAGAGGCTGAGAGAGACTCAGACCCCTCGCCACCACCTTCTCGCCATGGAGGCCCCGGTGGAGGAGGAGAAGGAGCCGTCTCTGATGGACAAGTCCATTCCTCTGCCCACCCTGAGCCCAGCCGTGCCGCCCTACGTGACTCTGAGCCTGACGGTGGTCTACACCGTCTTCTACTCGCTCCTCTTCCTCTTCGTGTACGTGCAGCTGTGGCTGGTGCTCCGGTACCGACACAAGCGCCTCAGCTACCAGACCGTGTTTCTGTTCCTGTGCCTGCTGTGGTCGGCGCTGCGCACCGTGCTCTTCTCCTTCTACTTCAGGAACTTCGTGACAGCCAACACGCTGGGACCTTTCCCCTTCTGGCTGCTCTACTGCTTCCCCGTCTGCCTGCAGTTCTTCACACTCTGCCTCATGAACCTTTACTTTGCACAGGTGAGTTTGGTCAGGATCGCACCTGGTCTAGAGTCTATTCAGCGGGCTTCAGGAACGAGAAGGACCCTGGTCCCTGAGCCATTTCTGCAACTGCAGCTTTCATTTAGATTTCTCCCATTCTGTTTGACTTCTGGTTTAGCAAGTATTGCCCAAATTTGAAATATTGAAATAAATTAAGTAAAAGTAACCATTAAAGCTAAATGTATATTTCTCTTGCAATCTTTCAACACCCACAACCTTGTAGACATGGGCGTAACTATGGGAGAGGGATTGGGGGGATATGGCCCCCACTTTTTCAAGAGGTACTTTTTATCCATTGATGATTTCCACTCATCTTTACTGAAATGAGGTAGAACCTATATATGTAAATGTATAGTCTGACCACGACCCATAGAGAGAGCGTGGTCATGGGGCGGAATCTATTGATGTGTTTAAAACTGTCACCACACGCATTTAGACAGCAAACACTGCTGTAGATGTGGGTCAATAGGGCAGTCCACCATGCACTGTTGAAGAAGACGTAAATACGTCCTTTTCCTCAAAGGAAGTCCGAGTCTGAGTAGTCCAAAGTTCATGTCAAATGAGTCATTGCCATCTTTGTTTTCTTAGCTCAGTCGCTTCAGCCCGCCCACCCAACCGATAGAGCGCTGGGATTGGCCCACCAAACCGATAGAGCGCTGGGATTGGCCCACCAAACCGATAGAGCGCTGGGATTGGCCCACCAAACCGATAGAGCGCTGGGATTGGCCCACCAAACCGATAGAGCGCTGGGATTGGCCCACCAAACCGATCGAGCGCTGGGATTGGCCCACCAAACCGATCGAGCGCTGGGATTGGCCCACCAAACCGATAGAGCGCTGGGATTGGCCCACCAAACCGATCGAGCGCTGGGATTGGCCCACCAAACCGATCGAGCGCTGGGATTGGCCCACCAAACCGATAGAGCGCTGGGATTGGCCCACCAAACCGATCGAGCGCTGGGATTGGCAATTCACAAGACTGTTCAGGCCTGCTGAGGTTCCAGTGGAGCGTGTCAAGACTGACCTGCAAAGCAAAATCCTTCTGCTTCTGCTACGGTCTGTCTAGGTTTCCGGTCTAGTAAATGAAATCTATTGAACATACATTCCAAAAATAAGAGTAAAATTTGCATCACTTGGAGAGTGTCGCATCAAAAACGGTCCGGGCAGAAACGGTTCTCTGTTCTCAGTCTCTTCTACCAACAGACGTCTGGGATTTCTCGTTTGGTCATTGTTATGCCCTTCACGATTTTATATCACCAAAAACCTCAACCAAACACTAATTTCCTTTGTGCTAAGTAAATAATGCCATTGTCAGTAACACAAGACACGGTTCTGCATCTCATAAATGGTAAAAACATGGCTGCAACAATGCCAACTCCTAGAAGGATGAAGCTTTTCTTACATACATCAGATTCAGCAGATGAAGATCAAGAGTCCAGTTTTAATTTACTACAAAATATCTGGATACAGAAGATGAAATCAAACACACTGTTTGTAATTTACTGCTGCTAATCTACGGTATGCCACTCTTAGTCATTCCTTTGACTTGATAACAGGGATTATCTCACACGTTGCTGTCAGTAGACACTCATTCAGATCAGCCACTAGCTGCGATGTGAATCGTTTCCGCAGACGCGGACAGAATTCAACTTTTCAGCCAGCTCGGCCCTCTTCCTGAGGATTATTTTTAGCATAATCCTCTTGCGTGAATCACAGTTGAGCGTTAACAGCGAGAGCTGAGAATTGTTCTGCGTATCTCCTAAACATGAAGCTCTAACAGTGTCAACTTCCTGTTTCATCTAAATGTCTGTTTATTCAAGGGAAAGGAATGGAGAAGTGAAAACATGAGTCATTTGCATGATCTTGCTTTCTTTTCTCAGGTTGTTTTCAAGGCAAAGTCGAAGTACGCACCAGAGCTCCTGAGGTACAGGTGAGTGGGTGGATTTCACGTCACACCTTAGTGGTTTTTAGGTGGAATAATTAAAAAATGTATACATGTTTTTTTATCCCCTGCACACCAGGCTGCCCCTGTACCTCCTCTTCCTCTTCATCAGCCTGGTGTTTTTAGTCGTAAACTTGGTGTGTGCTCTGCTGGTGAGGATGTCCTCTGCAGAAGCACACACCATCGTCCTGGTGAGGGTCGCCATCAACGACACTCTTTTTGTCCTGTGTGCGGTCTCGCTCTCCCTGTGTCTGTACAAGATCGCCAAATTGTCGTTGGCCAACATTTACCTGGAGTCTAAGGTGAGACTAATGTTTTAAGTCTCAGAAGGGAATGTGAATAGAGATCTGCACAGTGATGCACTTAGGGATGTCCCGATGCAACTTTTTCACTTCCGATACTATATCGATATCGCAGCCTTCAGTATTGACCGATTCCAATATCAATCCGATACGATGGCCGCACAAATCATACATACTTTTACCTATTTCGTAGTGTGGAATGTATGAAAGGCTTGATCAAGGGATATTACTCAATCGGAGAACAAGAGCCATTAACAGTAAGTATGAAATAAATGACCATTTTTTTCTTAACTGTTGGTTGCAAAAATGTGAACCTTGACAGACTGCTTATATCTGAAATTTTTGACGCCGCCCGATACAAACCGATACACTGTTTTTGGGCCGATATCGAATTACTTCCGATATCGATATCAGAACGGGACACCCGTAGGCGCACTTGCAACAAGGGCCTCTGCATGCAGTTTTTGCATATACTCCCCATGCATGAGTATGTACTCCGATTTTCCCCTACAGGCCAAAAACTGCACGTCAGCTTAAAACTGCATGTTTCTTTGGACAGAAGAGTCCACCAAATGAGATCCGACACTACATTCTGTATTAGGTTCCCTAGCAACACAGGCTCCACACTAACAAACATGGATATGCATTTTTCACAAACTCGCTTCTAGTTTGAGCTTAATTCTGACTGATCTTCTCTTGCAGGGAACGTCGGTGTGCCAGGTGACAGTTATTGGAGCCATAGTCATCCTCCTTTACGCTTCCAGGGCCTGCTACAACCTGGTTGTCCTGGGACTCTCAAACAAAAGCATTAACTCGTTTGACTATGACTGGTACAACGTGTCAGACCAGGTGAATCCACAGATGTCATAATGCACCAAAGGAGCAGTTCAACTTTTTTATAACGAGCTAGTTTTGGAACGAAAAGCTTTTATCTTCGTCATCCACAGGTTATTCTTAGTTTAATTTCAAAATAAAAGGTTTTGAGGGCATTTGCAAGCTTAAGTCTTGCTTTATTAGCTGGCATTTCCTGCACACAAAATGTATTAAGTAGACTCAGCCGTGTTATTTCCTTCTTTAGAAGCAGGAATCTAAATTAGTCTGAGATTGAAGTTACAGCCTTAAATATTTCCACCTTTGTTGATTTGGCCACACCTGCAGCTATTTGCGGACATAAAATACTTGGTGCACTAAAAACTAGTTCTCATAATGAACTCATTTTAAATCTGAAGACGCATCAGTAGGTCGGAGCAGTTTGCAGTCCTTTAACTCGTCTTGTTTTTCAGGCAGATTTGCAGTTGACTCTGGGTGACGTCGGCTACATCGTCTTCGGAGTGGTTCTGTTCGTATGGGAGCTGCTGCCTACTTCTCTTGTTGTTTTCTTCTTCAGAGTGAGGAAACCTAACTTAGACCGGGTGAGCCTGCAGGAATACGCTCTGTCGTTCATAAATGATTCGTTCATTAAATGAATGAAGTTTGCAAACCAAGCTGGTCCTGTTGGGGGGAAAAGTAGGTGACCCTTAAACCAAACAAATGTTGGAACACTTAGTGGCGTCTACAACTTCTACCGGGCATTTACGTAAATTCAGCCACGTAGAAGGGTTTTCCATCATGAGCCTCCTGTTTCAGGTCAAAGATCCAATATTAAGCTTCAGCAGGTTCTGCTCGAGTGCAGAGTTCATGGTTCCATCAGTTACAAATGGAGCCCCAGACCATCACACTACCACTGCCGTGTTTGACTGTAGCTAGGGTGTTTTAGTGTTTATTTTACTCAAAGTTCCAAAGATTTTTCCCCTAAAAGTCTTGGAGATCATAAAGATGTTTTCTTTGGGTAAAAGTGAGACCCAGCCATCCATTTTCAGCTACTTCTTGGAAATGAGATTAAACATCTCAATGAGATTTTACCTGGTAAAATAAAGGATTATATGTATTATTAGAGGCCCAGACTTTCCTCTCCACAGCCACTTGGGCCAGTTCCTCCAGGGGAATCCCAAGGTGTTCCCTGGCCAGATGTGTTGTAGTCCCTCAAGTGTGTCCTGGGTCTTCATTTCGGTCTCCTCCCAGTTGGACGTAAACCGGAAAACCTCACCAGGAGGCATCGTAACCAGATGCCTGAGCCACCTCAGCTGGCTCCTCTCGATGTGCAGGAGCAGCAGATCTAAATGTGAGACGGACCTTGGAATTCTCCCATGGTGCCATCCCTGCCTTTTTCCTATCGTTGAATCTTGACCTCTGACCTTAACCAAGTAAGTTCTGCATCGCTTTAGATTTTTGTTTTTGAATCTCTTTAAAACCGGCGAAGATGTGTTGCTGCAGCGATTTATTTATACAAGTTATCACTTGTAAGTCGCTTTGGGCAAAAGCATCTGCTGAATACATAAACATTTATTTCTACAGGCGGTGATCATGGTGGAACTGAACTCTGATTTCTAAACGATGTGATTAATCGCAGTTAATTCGTGATTTTAGAGAGGGTCATTCATTTTCCTCGTAGGACCAGGTTGGGTTGTTTCTCCATTTAGTCAAATCATCTGAAACTTGCCTTTTTTTTTTCTTTACTGATAACATTTGTCTTATCTGAAACACTTCACCTGCGGGCCAAGTACTCATTCTCTCCCCTTGTTTAAAGTCACTGTGCAGTCAGGTGTGTGACGTTTAATCAAATTTTAGTCAAAGGGAAATCCGTGGTTTGGTTAAAAGCTAAAAGAGATAATTAAATTACGACTCTCTTCAGGATCTTTAGTAAATGACCTAATTCTGTTTTCTGCCCCTGCAGAGCGGCTCAGGCCTTCCTGGCCACGTCTTCTCCTCTCGGGCTTATTTCTTTGACAACCCACGCCGTTATGACAGCGATGACAATCTGGCATGGAGCGTCATGCCTCAGAACATCCAGGCCAGGTAAAAGAAAAAAAAAACATCCAAACTTAGGGAGGTGGAAGTGATCAAGTAACTTGTTTTCTTGTCTCCAGTCTGGCTGCTGACAGCTATGAGTGGGGAAGCCAGAACAGCGGCATTGGCGTCTACATCGGGAGCGACGACAGCTACAGCTGCCCCCCACCTCCTCCAGAGGAGCTCAGCCATTACTGAGTGGATCACGACTCCCCCCCCCACCGTGTCTTTAACGTTATCTGTATGTTTTTTCACAATCTGTTACTGACCAATGCACAGCGAGACTAACGAGACTCATTTTTCTTTTTGCCAGTATGATGGCTCAGAAATGGGACGTGACCTTTTGCACATTTCTTGTACAAAATTTGATCTGCTCATGAACCTCTTCAGTTAGTTTGTTGAAATAGTGTAATTTATTTCCTCACCTTTGTAATATGTACTGTAATACTATTTTATGTACTGTTTATGAAAATGTTTAATTTCATACCAATGTTTATAGAGATTTGTTTAAATCGTTGATTTTAAAACTGTAAAAATGCTCGTTACATTTTTTGTATTAAATCCCTAAACCTCATTAAATTTATCTTTTGCTTTAGCGCCCTCTAGCGTCAGCTTTGCAGAAAGAATTCCTCAGGCCACTTTAATAGATACAGCAGTTTAATTGGTTAAAACAATCCGTTGATCACGTGACAAAAACGGCACTGCTCATCTAGACATGACTCGTTTAAACTGGGGATCAGAATAGAGGGGAAAGGATTTACGTGACTTTGAACTTTGCGTCATTGTTGGTCTGAATGTGGAGAAACTGCTGGTCTTCTAGGATTTTCACCCACAACCATTTCTGGGACTTAAAAATGGGCCTGAAAATAGAAAATATCCAGTGAAAAAAATAAGAGGTCTGCAGAACAGCATCTCAGGACCACACCAGCTGCTCCAGATGGTCTCCAGCAGCAGAAGACCACACCTGTTCAGGAAACACTTAAGGATCAGCCCAACCGCACCATTAGAGGCTGGAAAAAACATTTCCTGGTCTGACTTCAGCAGTAACATTCAGATGGTTGGGCCATAATCTGGTGTCACCAACATGAAAGCATACATCCACTGGATCAGCGCAGTGGTGGTTGTAATAGTGTAACCGTATAGGGTGCCGTATTGGACCCCTTAGCACCACCTGAACCTGGTTCAAACCCCACAGCCTACCCGAGTACTGTTGCTGACCATGTCCATCTCCGTATGACCAGGTGGACCCATCTTCTGATACAGCAGGGTGATGCAACACCTAACAAAGCTCAGATCTTCTCTAACTGGTTTCTAGAACAACCATGAGTTCAACGGCCTCCACAGTCACCAGATCTCAGTCCAGTGATGCTGTCGATGTGGAGAACCTCTGAGGAGCCTTTCAAACACCTTCTGGAATGATCTGTAAAATCCTAACTCACTGTAACCATCAGGACACCGACTAAAAATGAAATTTCCAACATTCTTCTGAAGAATGATTATCTTTTAAGAGATTCTGAACAAAACGACCAGCAGGCCAAACAGTTTTTTGTCACTTCTCAGTTTTATTGAGGAACTTTCTTTTAAAAAGATGGTTTGCCTTCTAAAAGCTTTAAATACATCATGTACCCTGAAAGTTAAGACTTTAGCGAGAGGCAGCTCACCTACAGGATATGAACATTCTCAGATGGATTTTTTGAGACAGAATTTGAAATGATCTGTAAAACTTGGCGAAGACAAAAAAAAGAGACTCCGCCCGTAGCGGAGCGTCGAGGGATCCAACTGAAACAGACCACTAACTGGTAACTGGTGTGGGATTTTTAACCAGGAACAAGTAAACCAACTTGCAGAGCATTTTATGCAACTGTTTGCAGGCAGCAGTGTTGGTACACGGAGATGTTTTCATTAATATTTAAATCATGCTATGTGCATTTCATTAAATGTGAGTTATCTGCAGAAATGAGCAGTAGCATATCCACACGTGCACCTGACACCTCACGAACTGAGAAAACGTCTGTTTTGTTGTGAAAAGGCGGGACAGAGGTTTGAAAATTTGATTTTCAAAAGGCTTCCTTTCGAGGGGTCTGCGTGAAATGCCAACGTCCTCACCTTAGCTGAGCAGATCTCAGGAGATATTTATGGAATCAGGCACAAAGACGTAGAAATCCAGGAAAAATAATCCTGCCAACGGCCGCCAGATCAGCAAGCAGCTACAACGTTAAGGTGGCACTAATTCCAAACAAGTAAAAACTAATCTCATCTATTTTTAAAGATGGGAAAGTTGAATTCAAAAAGATATTTGGGGAAGTTTTCATATAAAAAATTATAATTTATAAGGTGCATTGTCTCAATTAGACAAAATCCACATTTAAGACGGATATCTGGTTCCATGTGAACATGAAATGATCGGCTGAGGCGGAGAACTGGTCGTCCCAAAGGGAACTTGTTTTCATGTTTGGGGGTCAAAACAAAAAATGGCACAAAGAAAAAGGTGCTGCACACAGGTGTCCAGCAGGGGGCGCATGCTGCTTTGCATGACTCCAGAGGAAACCGAGCCACACATACGGTTTATGTCCTTTTCTGAGTGGAAGAGAAGCAAGATCACAACAACTGGGATGAAAGATCGTCCTGGCAGGAAAAATATGACTTTAATTCAGATTAGTCCTCAAATTATTTGAAAAGGAAGCTCATCTCAACAGCCCCGTTCCATGTGAGAAAAGCTCCATGACACGCATGCAAAACGCTGACTGTACCTTTAAGGAATGAAGTGGAGGGAAACGACGCGTGTGGGACGCTGACCTGAAGCCTTCTGTCTGAACTGTAAATGTGAACGAGCTGAGAGGAAGGGGGAACAAGAGAAAATCCCTTTTCGGTAAACGTTGACATTCAATGTCCTTTAGTCTGTCCGCTCTGCTGTGACCAACAGAAATGACTTTAAACTTCTTGTTATGCAAGATTTTTTTACCCATTCAAGCACAGATTAGCTGTGTTGCCATTAGAACACAAACACATGCTCAGGTATAGGCCACTTTCGTAAGATGGAGCACTTGTAGGCTGCTGGCGACAGACGAGCTCTTCCTCCTAGCTGGGATCCGACGGTTTCTCAAGCTCCACTTTTACTCCTTTTTCTCCCGCACCTGCACGCAAAGGAAACACGCGAGATCCAGCCAAAGAACACAAAGGAGCTGAAACAACAGCGACGCCTCTTCGCTCGGATCCTACCTGTTAAATACTTTTCTTTAGCTCTGGCTCGCTCGTCTGCATCAAAGTACCACACGGTGATGGCATACCTGCAGAGACGGGTTTAAGAGAGCTGTGAGGAAAAGCGTGTGTGCAGTCCGAGCGGGTGCACGGCGGCTTCAGATGCTGACCTTGTGGCCAGAGCGGGCTGGACCTCGTGAGGGTTCCGTCTGTCCGACCAGAACAGCAGCAGGCGGTCGAATGTTGGCTCTATGTCGGCAAACTTGGATTTACCTTCTGGGAAGATTCGGAGAAGGCCGCCGTGTTCCTGGGAGAGCAGAGAAATAAATGCAATAAGTAAAGAAGAAAGTCAAACCCATCCGCATGCGGCCCTTTCAAACCGATCAAAGTGGAGCGATAATATTTAAAGAGCAAGTCACCCCTTACAAGAAGCGTACTTCACTCCCACTTCATGTTTGAAAAATGCAACAAAAGCGGTTGCCTAGCAGACCGAGAGGGTGGAGCCACTAACAAATACACACACTCACGACATTGTGACATCATAATGTACCAGTTTACATCATACAGGGTATCTGCAGGTTTAAGGGAGCCAAATTTAAGACTTTTTAAGACCTTTTTTAAGGCCACTTTGACCAAATTTAAGCTATTTTTAAAATTAAATTTAAGCTATAATTTCCAGCAATAGCGGTGCTAACCACGTCGCGAACGTTAGCCATCCAGTTACCATTAAACTTCCCCATGGCGCAAGCTCCCACTAGCTTAACCAGCTAATGTGCTCATCTAAAAATAGCCCCCTTTCACAACCAACTGAATGTGTACGGTTCCGCTTACGCCAACATCGTACACAAAAAATGCTGAACACTAACTAGAAATTCACAAACATATCATAGAAATAAAATAATCTAGTTTATTGGGTCTTTGGTAATTTAAGACCTTTGGAAACAGTATTTAAGGATTATTTGTCACTTTTAAGGATTTTTAAGGCCTTAAATTTGGAAAAGTAAATTTAAGACTTTTTAAGGACCCGCGGATACCCTGATCATAGCATACCTCTTAGCCAATAGCGGTGGCAGATTTAAATTCAAATACAGTGAAGAGTTTTTACCTGACAACGGCACAACACTGACAGTTTCAGGCAGAAAATTTAAATTTTAACTAAAAATCACTAAAGTGCTAAACTATTGACAGGGTATCTGCGGGTCCTTAAAAAGTCTTAAATTAGCTTTTCCAAATTTAAGGCCTTAAAAATCCTTAAAAATGACAAATAATCCTTAAGTACAGTTTCCAAAGGTCTTAAATTACCAAAGACCCATTAAACTAGATTATTTTATTTCTATGATATGTTTGTGAATTTCTAGTTAGTGTTCAGCATTTTTTGTGTGCGATGTTGGCGTAAGCGGAACCGTACACATTCAGCTGGTTGTGAAAGGGGGCTATTTTTAGATGAGCACATTAGCTGGTTAAGCTAGTGGGAGCTTGCGCCATGGGGAAGTTTAATGGTAACTGGATGGCTAACGTTTGCGACGTGGTTAGCACCGCTATTGCTGGAAATTATAGCTTAAATTTAATTTTAAAAATAGCTTAAATTTGGTCAAAGTGGCCTTAAAAAAGGTCTGAAAAAGTCTTAAATTTGGCTCCCTTAAACCTGCAGATACCCTGTTACCGTGCCATGAGTGTGAGACTGGATTCCTAACAGAGGAGGTTCAGTTTTATCCTGTTTATATTTGAAGAGATTAAATAAATAACGTCCTGAGCCAACCATCTGTGTCATTCATATAACAGGGTATCTGCAGGTCCTTGAAAAGTCTTAAAAAGTCTTAAATTTACTTTTCCAAAATTAAGGCCTTGAAAATGCTTAAAAATGACAAATAATCCTTAAATACAGTTTCCAAAGGTCTTAAATTACCAAAGACCCAATAAACTAGATTATTTTATTTCTATGAAATTTTTGTGAATTTCTAGTTAGTGATGAGCATTTTTTGTGTACGATGTTGGCAAAAAGTTGTGGTTGTGAAAGGGGGCTATTTTTAGATGAGCACCGTAGCTGGTTAAGCTAGTGGGAGCTTGCGCCATGGGGAAGGGCAAGTTTAATGGTAACTGGATGGCTAATCCTACGTTCACGAAGTGGTTAACACCGGTTCCAGGCAATAGCTGGAAATTATAGCAGAAATTTAATTAAAAAAATTAGCTTAAATTTGGTCAAAGTGGCCTTAAAAAAGGTCTTAAAAAGTCTTAAATTTGGCTCCCTTAAACCTGCAGCTACCCTGTATTGACTACATGTGTCTGCAGCACGATTAGACACGCATTTATATAGTTTATCAGAAAAAAACAGTTGATTTGGGGGTGACTTACTTTTTAAGGCCGTCTGACCCTAAAGGCTAAGAGGAAAGCTCAGGATAGGAAGCAGCAGTGGGGGACGGCTTTCCTGTGGAGGGATAGGAAGAATAACCCACAGGAAAACTGCTCCGGCTGGATAAAGGACCCGGAGAGTGAAAAAGCAGATTGCAGCGCGCCTCTTGCTTAATGTCTCACTGTGCTGATATGATAGGCCCCTCTCTTCACACGCAAACTCCTGACGCTTTAAAAGGTCCACACCCTTTGGTGGAGAAGTAATGCCATTCCTGTTAAAAACACTAAATGAGGGGAAAGCCGGTGGTGTGACTGAACCAAACGAGGCTCAGTAGGGTCAAAGACAGGAGGAACATCCAGAGAGCAGATTTAAACAAACATCAGAGGGAGCGCAGGGTTCAGCGACCAGGGCAGGTAATGAAGACGTATGGATTAGAGGGAGTGACGGCTCATCGCTGACGACGCGACAGGCCGTGACTTTATGACCTACATCAAGCTAAAGTGGACTGATGTTGGAGGTCAACAAGTGATAAGATGTGACAGATGTTACACCAAGCAAAGGTCAGCCCGGCTGTAGACCTTCACTCAAATTACTTTTCAGGAAAAAACAAAAAGAAAAGATTCATTCATCAGAGGAATCCTTGGAATCTGAATAATTTATTTTGGGATCGCTCAAAGAGCATTAAATGTTTGAAATCATCTTCTAGAACAGCAGATTCATTAAGGTGCTTAATTAATGGACCTTTTCTTGTATTACTTCATATTAAAAGGGGAATTGGGCAGTTTTGGCTCACTTTTAGCACCCCCCAGTGTCCATTAGTAGAACCAAAACCCATCTCCTCCTTGCTGTGCGTTCATCTTTTTAACACCTTAATCTGACAGCTGAGATGTCTCCTCAGCCTTCCTTAGTGTCTACAGGAGTGATTCATCACTGAATTAAACAAATCAGCCGTGTTCATGATCTAAAACATGCAGGGAACGTGCTGGAAGCAGACCGCAGCTCCAGCTATGTCCGCTCCATTCTTTTCCCCAACAGAGCAGCCTGCCACTCTGAAGTTGCAAGTGGAATATTCTGGCCTTAGGGGTCGATATGGGCTGGGTGGCCTTTCAATGACCCTGTAAAGGGAAGCTGCTGCTGGCCGTTTGTACCTGCGCTTAGTCCGGACGTGATTAAAAGCAAACATTTCTTTAGTCTAAAATGTTTGTATTTGGGTTCGGTTGGGCGCAGACCTCACGCGCACACCGTCAGGCCAATCAGAGGCTCCCACTAGTAGGTGGACGTGAGTGACCTTACCAGGGCCAAACCGAGCAGAGTGTAAATGCAGCTCTAGATATGCTAGATACCTCCACACCGGGGGGTCCCACCAGTGGTGCTGGGGAGGGGACAGATTGAGCTGCACTATTAGGGCTGCTAACCCCACGATCCAGATAAGCAGACAAATGTTGACGATGTGAGGGTTCAATTATCCACAATCTGAGTCTCGTATTTAACTAAAACAGCAAAGCCTTCTCTAGAGGGGAGGCCCGGTATTCAGACAGACACACCTAACAACACATAACCTAATACACAGACACCTGGAATGACCCTCATTTAAATGTCTGGAGCATCGTAGATGCTCACAGCAGCTTTGTTAACTTCGTTAACTTGACCCACATGGTCACTGGTGAAGGTAGGGACAGAAAAAGACTTAAACAAATAAACAAGCTGCAGGAGACCACAGAGGATTGATAAGATGAAAACAGCCAGGTTACGTGCTGCCTTCCAACATCTGTTTGTTTTTTAAACACCCAGTAATGTTAAAAACAAGCCAGGTCACGTGTTTCTTATCCAAAGATCCATAGGTCAAAATACATGACGTCCACCTGAAACCCATGACCCAAACAAAGTGGAGACACGAAGAGAAACAGCAGAATGAAGCGATCCAGACAAGAATTATTTAACGTGGAACCATTTCCGTACAGCTTCGAGGAGATTCTGGTCCACCATCTGGCGCCTCAGTGGGCAAAGCAGTGTGCCACCAACACTATCTCTAGTGGGGACGGTGTGCTGCTGACCTCTACTCTGGACGTTGTGGATCGGTGGGCAGAATACTTCGAAGACCTCCTCAATCCCACCGACACGTCTTCCAGTGAGGAAGCAGAGTCTGGGGACTTTGGGTTGGCCTCTCAAATCTCTGGTGCTGAGGTCTCTGAGGTGGTTAAAAAGCTCCTCTGTGGCAAGGCTCCAGGGGTGGATGAGATCCACCCGGAGTTCCTTAAGGCTCTGGATGTTGTGAAGCTGTGTTGGCTGACACGGCTCTGCAATATCGCGTGGACATCAGGGGCAGTCCCACTGGACTGGCAGACCGGGGTGGTGGTCCCCTTGTTTAAAAAGGGGGACCGCAGGGTGTGTTCCAACTACAGGGGGGTCGCACTCCTGAGCCTTCCTGGTAAGGTCTATTCAGGGGTTCTGGAGAGGAGGGTCCGTCGGATTGTTGAACCTCAGATTCAGGAGGAGCAATGTGGTTTTCGTTCTGGCCGTGGAACACTGGACCAGCTCTATACCCTTAGGGGGTTCCTGGAGGGTGCGTGGGAATTTGCCCAACCAGTCTACATGTGTTTTGTGGATTTGGAGAAGGCGTTTGACCGCGTCCCTCGGGGGGGCCCTGTGGGGGGTACTCCGGGAGTATGGGGTACCAGTAGGGCTGCAACAAACGATTATTTGGATAATCGATGAATCGGATGGGGTCTCGACACGATTAATCGATTAATCGGATTACATAGGGACATTTTTAAAAACTGCTAGGGAAACGTTATTTTTCTCCTTCCTTCACTTTATTAAACACAACATTATTAGAAAACAGTTCAATAGCAGAAAAACAACATGCCATCACCTAAATTGTCTTATAAGGTGTATAGACAGAGACCCTAAGCTACATCTATCTGTGACCTAAAATGCTTGGTCCAAGTTGGTCTTCAGCTTAAAGAGCAAGTCAACCCCTACCAGAGTCTAACTCCACTCCCACTTCATGTTTGAAAAATGCAACACTTGCTGTTGCCTGGCAGACCGAGAGGGCGGAGCCGCTAACAAACACACACTCAGGCTCACGACAGCATTGTGACATCATAATGTACCAGTTAACATCATAGCATACTTCTTAGCCAATAGCGGTGGCAGATTTCAATTAAAATACAGTGCAGAGTTTTTACCTGACAACGGCACAACACTGCCAGTTTTAGGCAGAATATTTAAATTTTAACTAAGATGCACTGAAGTGCCAAATTATTGACGACACGTGTCTGCAGCACGATTATACACTCGTTTATTTAGTTTATCAGCAAAAAAAAATGTTTATTTGGGGGTGACTTGCTCTTTAAGGGCAATTCTCATCTGTTTTGTTTGATCTCATCTGTAGACATTTATTATAATTGGGGGTGTCAAACAACTAATTTTTAAATGTAATTAAACATAGGCTGTGAATTAATCAAAATTAATCACTATTTCCAAAAATGACTGAAAAAATACCAAATAAAACAAAAGTAAATGAATGCCATCCTCCTTGTGATGATGCCCTGGGCAACTGCCATAAAGTCACATCAAGAAATGCTGCTGATCATTCCAATGATCCCAAATAGACTCACATCAGGCCACATGAAAGCAACTGAACCCAAAAATATATTAACCAGTATATAACTGCACTCTCACACAACACGCCTGCAGCAACAGTTAGGACTCCTCCCTCCCTTTTAAAAGCGTTTTTGCTTCTGAGGACATTGTGGTTGTAAAACCACATGCTAGTAGTCTGGCCCCGGTGTGATCAACCAGTTTCTGCGGGAATGTGACGGCGGAACCGGTTCCCAGCGGCGCGAGTCCCCCCCCCCCCCCGGCGATCTAATAGCGTTGCGCTTACAATTTTATAGACTTTTTAAAACAAGCTTAGGGCATGTCTAGCCTGTAATAATCCGGGGCTTGGGTGAATCACTTTTGAAAAGTTTTTAACTTACCCGGACACCGAGCTCTCTCCTTCCTCGCTGATGATTCTGACATGCTTGCGTTTAAGACGCTGCATCATCACCGTAGTATCCCCGTGCCATGCTAAGTCTGACCTACAAACGTTGCAGGTAACAAATGTCTTCGCCTGATTTAACTGAAAATGCTCCCAAACTTTAGAAGTTTTTACTTTTTTGGGGTCTCGCTTCTTCTGCCATGTTCCTCTTACAAAACACCTGCCGGCTCTCCACCGGTCTGCGCGCAGCGGCGGGAGGGGAGGGGGCTTTTGGAAGAGTTGCGCAACACAACGAATCGATGACGCAATTCGTTGCCAACGCTTTTAGTAATCGATTTTCATCGAATTTATCGATTCGTTGTTGCAGCCCTAGGTACCAGGCCCTCTGATACGGGCTGTTAGGTCCCTGTATGACCGGTGTCAGAGCTTGGTCCGCATTGCCAGCAGTAAGTCGGGCTCGTTCCCAGTGAGAGTTGGACTCTGCCAAGGCTGCCCTTTGTCACCGATTCTGTTCATAAGCTTTATGGACAGGATTTCTAGGTGCAGCCAAGGTGTGGAGGGCATCCGTTTGGTGGCCTGAGGATCAGGTCTCTGCTTTTTGCAGATGATGTGGTCCTGTTGGCTTCATCAGAACGTGATCTTCAGCTTTTGCTGGAGCGGTTCGCAGCCGAGTGTGAAGCAGCTGGGATGAGAATCAGCTCCTCTAAATCTGAGACCATGGTCTTGATTCGGAAAAGGGTACAATGCCTTCTCCGGGTCAGGGATGAGGTCCTGCCCCAAGTGGAGGAGTTTAAGTATCTCGGGGTCTTGTTCATGAGTGAGGGAAAACTGGAGCATGAGATCGATAGGTGGATTGGTGCTGCATCTGCAGTGATGCGGGCGTTGTACCGGTCTGTCGTGGTGAAGAGAGAGCTGAGTCAGAAGGTAAATCTCTCGATTTACCGGTCGATCTACGTTCCTACCCTCACCTATGGTCATGAGCTTTGGGTAGTGACCGAAAGAACGAGATCGCAGATACAAGCGGCCGAAATGAGTTTTCTCCGCAGAGTAGCTGGGCTGTCCCTTAAGACAGTGGTCCCCAAACTTATTTAGCCGCGCACCCCCTTCTATGTCCCGACCATGTCGACGCACCCCCCCCCCCCCCCCACATCGGGGCATGGCTCTCTCTCTCTCTCTCTCTATCTATCTATCTATATATATATATATATATATATATATATATATATATATATATCAGATGTCAAGCTAAACAGACAGGGTTAAAAAAATTCCCCATCACTTTCATTTTTAAATAGTAATGAATAAACATTCGATACCATTACGATTTCCTTTTGATTTAATTTTAAATACATATTTAGAGTGCCCAGGTAGCACATAAACAATGCAATTTAACGGTTTTCTTAAAGTAGGAACGTTTAACCTGTGCGGCCAGAGCGCTCTCCTTCCTTCTGCTCTGCGTAAACCTGAGCTGATCACCTACTGGTGCGTAATCAAATGTCTATAGGGGACCAGATATAGCCATGAGGTTCACTTTTGCCTCAGACCGACTTATTGCTGTTTTATGGTGTGGCTGAATCTGCGATCCGCTGCCACACGGACTGGAACAACAAATGCTGCAGTGGACTTGAGGTCAGGTTCATGAGGAGTCACTGGCTGGAGCGGACCCGACTCATCCCAGAAGCTAATATCTTAATTTGACCTTGAATGAAAAATAACCTCTTAAAAGTTTTTATCACGGTGGAGGCAGCGTTCATTTCTGCCTTCAGTCTGACGGCGCGCCGGAGTTAAAGCAGCGTGCGCACTTATTGAATCTGTGTGTGTGTGCGCGCGGCACAGCCGCTCGAGTCACCGCGTCTCGCGCTATTTAAACCAACGTTGTAAAATGACTTCTGCCCAGCCCAGATGTGCTCACTTGTGCACCCGTGAGCCGTGGTTCAGCCGGAACGCGTCTGACCTCTGACAGACGCACTCTGAACTTCAGATCTTCAGCGCGCTGTTAATAGCCTGAATGGGAATCATTTCTTGTTATTTAGTTACATCCACAATGTTCTGTGTGTGAGGTTTACAACGTCAGAACACCTGCATGAGACAGGTGTTAATTACAATCTGCCAGAATGACTCACCACCTTCAGATTCCTCCAACACCGTTAAAAATGATCAAATACGGAACATATCGGCGTGCACAGGCCAGAGTGCTGAAGCTCGGCGCATTGTTATTATGAAGCTAGGGCACATTTGGAGGACACACACACACACGCGCGCAAAAATATACTTGTTTTCAATTACATTTATTGGGCCCACTTACTTTTTCTTAGGCCCACCCACAAATGAGTTTCTGGCTACGCTAATGGTGACACATGACAGACTTCTCTGAGCTCCGCAGCCATTACACTTTTCACCTCGCGCACCCCCTAGTGGCAGCTCGCGCACCCCCGGGGGTGCGCGCACCACACTTTGGGAATCCCTTCCTTAAGAGATAGGGTGAGAAGCTCGGTCATTTGAGAGGGGCTCGGAGTAGACCCGCTGCTCCTCCACATCGAGAGGAGCCAGTTGAGGTGGCTCGGGCATCTGGTCAGGATGCCTCCTGGACTCCTCCCTATAGAGGTTTTCTGGGCACGTCCAACCAGGAGGAGACCTAAAGGTAGACCCAGGACACGTTGGAGGGACTATGTCTCTCACCTGGCCAGGGAACGCCTTGGGATTCCCCCAGAGGAGCTGGCCCAAGTGGCTGGGGAGAGGGAAGTCTGGGCCTCTCGTCTTAGGCTGCTGCCCCCACGACCCGACTCCGGATAAGAGGATGAAAATGGATGGATGGATGGATGGATGGATGGATGGAACCATTTATTTATTTACAACCTGCCCCTGGTACCTTATTGTAGCTTTGGTTCTACATAAATTAGATAAAATAATCCCTGACCAGCATCAAATCTTCACCTGAAATAATGGCTCGAATACTGAAATGATCTCATGAAATGAAGTTTTTTGATTCCATTCAAAAGGCCACTGCTTGATTTCTACCTGAGATGGAAGAGAGAGCCCATTCTCCCAGTTCGCTGTAAAACTTTTATCTACTGTATATAAAACCATCCTAAATGTTGAACCGCACAACCGTAGAAACACTTTTATAATTTCTTTAAATTTAACTAATGGTGTATGAGATGCTTTTTCTTCCTGCTCTGTCATCATCATGCTAAAGGCGACCTCAACCACTTCTGCCTCCCTTCATCCCTCTCTAAAACGCTGCACACCTGCGAACCTTTTCATTCCCACATATCATTGACTCCTTATAGGATTTGTTATTTTATGTTGTATTTGGGGTTCTTACAACTTAACTAGAGGTTTTCGAGGTTTCCCAGCATCTTACACTGGTGTAGATGTACATAGACACACATCTGCCCTCAGTCACTTTCAAAACTTTCTAAACTAACCATATTAAATTAAAGTAATTATTTCAAATACCCGTAAGAACGTCACATCAAAACTGATTTTACTGACCATCATACAGCATTTTGTAATTAAACTATTAAAATCAGGCCTAACTCCATTAGCTAAACTGTCGTGCTGTGCCATCTTCAAACTGGTTTCAAATGAGGTAATGTTGTATTTCACACGCAAAAATCCATCGACCTCGGCCTCTTCCTACTATAAATGCACTTTCCAGCATGAACAACATGACAACAGGTGTGGCAGGTAGCATTTGGGGTTGGGGGGCTCCTCTGCCGGGATGTGTGAGACTAGATCAGCAGGATCTGTGTGTTTTAATGAGATTAAAGATAATAAGACCTTCCGTGAAGCATGTAATAACATGAAAACACAAAATCTTACTTCTAATGAGTGCAACTGCAGAAGTAAGGCGAGACGGCGGGCAGTGAAAGGTCACAAAGATTGAAACGCCAAATATTCTTGCGCTTCTTCAGCAGAAACACTTGGAGCCACGTTTTATGAATTGACACGACTCCCATACCTTGGCGTTCCAGCCTTTGTTGAGGTAATAAATGCACGTGACGCAGCGTCCGTCGCCATTGGGGTTGTCCACATGGCGCACATAACCTGTTCCGTCTCCAGGGTAACATGCCACCATTGCCTGGAGAAAGAAAGATGAGAAAGTGTGATTAGTGAAAACAGACGTGCGGTGACACAAGCACAAAGGTAAACATTTGCCGTCAAGATCTTTCATGTGTCACTGAGCGACAGACTCAATAGACGTAAAAAGGAAAAGTGTCAGAGAGGATTGGGTCGCGCAGAAAGCAGACTTCCAGAACCAGTTTGGATGATAAACCGCACAGAAACAATATCGCTGCATTTCAACTCCACCTGAACAGAGATGAGCACAATTACAGACTAAACACGCCCCGGCGGTCTCGCTTGAACTTTAATCCAGTGAGGAAATAAACCGGAGACATTGTGATAACTTCCGTCTGCCTTTTCCTGCTCTAATAAGACACAAGCGGTCTGCTTGGGTGTTGGCAGGGAACCCCCATGAGCTCTCGTATGCTTCTGGGTGTAAACAACGTGTGCTGGCACTCGCGCAGTAAGAGAACACCCCTCAGGAGTACGACGCGCACAAGCGGCGACTCGCACAGGAACATATTTTTTAATCTTCCTCCACATCTCTAATTAGTTCTTTCACCGTGGAAGTCGACAGTAATATTAAACATGCTGACATTCTGACTGATGAGTGTCAAACGTGCAGAAACAGAGAGCAGGGCAGCCCTCATGCACAGCATCATGATGGGCAAACCGCAAGTCGGCCCACATTCTTTCATGAACTTGCATCAACACAAACCATAGCAACATTATTATAAACACACACAGCAGCCTAAACTTCCCCAGTTCCACTGCAACAGCACCCCATCAGTTTCAAAAACATTCTCGTAATCCAAATCGTTCCCATCACACGGGAGCCTGGGTCTGGCTTTTTTCCTGTGCATCTGATCGTAGCTGCTTGCGTCAGTCCACATTGTGCTCCCATCTCTTCAGAGATGCAGGTTACCGCTGGAATGCACAATATCAGGGCCTTCAAAGCTGGAAAACATCAGAACTCCAATATGGAGGGGAGGGGGTTGGCGATGCCCGGTAGAGTTGCACCAACACTCAAAACATGGGGGAGGGACTTAAGAGAAACGGCTGCAGAGTGAGGGGCATGCATGCTGACAAAGGGCTTCCTGTCTGTAAGATGCAGTACGGGGTGTGTGTGTGTGTGTGTGTGTGTGTGTGTGTGTGTGTGTGTGTGTGTGTGTGTGTGTAAAAGAGAGGGACAAAGAACGAAGGAGAGGGCCACAGACAGTGAAAGCGGAGGGGTGGGGCTGCAGCTGAAGAGAGGAGTGAACTGCTGTAAACTTTGACTCCTGGCCTCCCTCCAGAGGGAGCAGTATTTTAATGGTTGTGCTACGTGCAGAGCGTGAGGAGGGTTGGCCCATCCTCCGCTATGTCACCCCTCCCACCCAGAACTGCTGCGCTCACGCTGCAAGGCTAAAGATGGGTCAAGTGTGGCTCCAGAGGCGTGGACGGAGTTAAGGTGAGAGCGCTCAGGGTGAAAAAAGACCGGACACAGCAGCTTCGCCTCTCACTTCCTTTCGCTGGAAAGCCGTGAAGCTTATCCATAACAGGAAAACTCGTCTTCAACACGGGCTTATTTATACTCCAGGTGGGGCCATTTTCACTGAATAGTTTATGAAATCTGGGGAAAAACAAAAGCACACTTGAGAGTGTGTGCAGAAGCATCAGACAGAAAAAACATCACACAGCTGTTATGTAGAAATGCCAACCTTGTATGAAGAGCTGTTTAATCCCAGCTAGCCTTTCATGGGATCTGGTCATGAGAACCTAACGAGCTGAAGCACACAGAAGAGACGCATCTTAAGATAAAACAAAGAGCAACACAGTGGTCATCTGAAATGGGCAGTGTCCTGACTAGATGGACACGTTTCATATTCTCGATCCTACTCCTCGCCGTCTTCACCCTCGACCTTTATATCCATTAGAGCTTCCATTCTGTCAGCCGCCGACTCTTCCGCGTTCCGCTGCGGTCCTCATTAAGTGGATGACCTTGCTTCTCGTCTTGTTTGTTTACATTCCACAAGCACAGCATCGGAGGCCAACTGGCATTAACGTGCGGGAAACAAGAGGAGTGGAGGTCACCATCACGACACTCCAAGCGGCCTTCAGCGAGGATGACAAAGAGGCAAGGCCCTCTACAGACGCACAACAACTTTATGCTATCAATACTGATCGAGCACGCCTGTTGATGCAACTAAAAACAACGTTCCTCCGATTTCCCGTAAATCGAGGCAAACGTTTCCTGCTGTTTACTACGGTTTGTTTCCACATAAACAGACAGCTTGGTATTTCATTCAACTGAAACGTAACAACACGTTCCCATTTGAGGCCGAGATGGAATTCCTCGGAGACTGCTCGAATCATGTGCTGCCTTTTCTTCCTTATTTTCATTCTTTCAAAAAACAAGTAGAGCTCCAACTGGACCAGCTGTGACAAGCAGCAGCTAAACTGACATTAGTCACATGAGATCAGTCGCCATTCAACCACCTGCACTTTCACGTGCTTCTAATTCAGATTTCAGACGCAGATTCTCACAAATATTATGCAAAACAAACATCAACCCAAAAACTATCGCGTAACTTTTCTGAAAGCATTACTTAAGTTTGACCTGCACTATAGACTTGGAGTAGGGGTCAACGCTCAGGTGTGCCCACCTCACTCGCCAGCACCTATCAGGAAAGGGACACCCTGGACAGGCCTGCTGTCTCTCAGGGACACATCTAGAGTCTCTAATCAATCGAACACGCATGTTTTTGGTCTGTGGGAGGAATACCTGGAGAAAACCAAACACGCATGGGGAAAACATGCTCGCTCCATGCAGACAGGCTGCAGCCAGGGTTCATACCTGCAACCTCCTTGGTGGAAGACAACAGTGCTTCCAACTGCACCACCATGCAGCCCCAGGTCATAGCAGCCTTATTTGGCTGAAAACAATCTAGAATACCAACCAGAGCGGCTCAAACAGTCCAACTGTTTCAATTTTTAAAGCTTTAAACTCAACATATATTTTTAATGTTTAACTGCACGAAACACGCCCACGGACATGCAGGTATGCCACGCATGCACTCAGCTGATCCTACCTGAAGGCCACAGTAGCTACAGTTGAGTGTACCTGCGTACCTGGAGCTAAGACTCTTAAAGGTGTGGGACACTCGTTTAATCTATATATTTGATGTGGTATCTAGCTCTTTCCTTTCCACCTATTCCGCCTTTCCCAGCATCCATTGATTTCCCTCTATCAATTTTCTCTCCCTTTCCTTACACTTCTAATCACATTTTTAATCATTGTTTTTTTTCACATGGTGCTCTCATAAGTATGGAACTTGGGCACGTTCAACACATGTCTTAAGGCTGTGGTGGGCACTTAATGCACTGTGATTTATTATTGTGTGATAGTTCAGTTAAACAATGTTGATTTTATATTTCTTCTTCAAGTTGACGCAGTGATAGCTGGATCTTGTATTGTTGTGTCCCTTTTTTTTTTTTTGTTTTTTTTTTTGCTTTTTTTCTTGTCTCTTTCTGCAGGTCTAGAAGCAGATTCTTGTTCATTATTGTTTATTTTTGTGGACCCCCCCATCTTTTGTCTCTTCCTTTCTCTTTCACCTCTGTCTCCGTGTCTGGTCGGAATTACAAAGCATTCAAAAACAACAACAATAAAGTTTTAAGTATCAGGCGTGACATTAAAGCAGAAGCTTTGATGCTCCACCTGAGCATTCAGACATCAGTTCTGTTTGCTTCACAGCCAGACAGGACACGGCAGGAAAAAAAAGAAACACAACTCTTCCATTCACTTCTTTTTTTGGTAAAAAATATGCAACATTGATGTTTAGTCTCTACAAATAACACAAGCCTTAATGTGTTCCACCATGTTGTTGAGTTGCTAATGCAAATGGTTAGCTTTTACTAGCCAAGATGCACTCTGCTATCATCAATCCAAGGTGGATGAGGCCATGAATACAAATTTCACCTGTGACGCAGAAGAGACGGGCTTTCTCTGACCTGAATGTTTGCCCATTCTTTTACCCATCTGTGGTAATGCAGGTGATGATAATTAAAGAACTGTTTCACTTTCAATTAAATTAAACTCAATTCAAGTTTATTTATATAGCGCCAAATCACGAGAAGAGCAAGAGTCGTATCAAGGCACTTTCCAAACACACCCACATCACCCCGCTTCTCCTCCAGCTTCACTGGCTGCCAGTCAACTTCAGGGTTCATTTCAAGATCCTGGTTCTGGTCTATAGGGCCTTACATGGACAAGCACCATCTTACATTGGTGATCTTCTTAGTCCCTACACCCCCAGCAGGTCCCTGAGGTCCAGTGATCAAAGCCTACTGGTTGTGCAGCACCAGGCTAAAGGTCAAAGGTGACAGATCATCTGCTGCTGTGGCCCCCAGACTCTGGACCTCTCTCCCCCTGAGCCTGAGATCAGTGGACTCAGTGGTCTCCTTTAAAAAGCAGCTGAAAACTCACTTGTTCAAGCTGGCTTTTGTATGACCTTCTTCACCACTCTCTCTTTATTCTGCTCTCCCCACCTATTCCACCTTCCTCAGGATCCACTGGTTTCCCTCTTTCCTGTTCACTCTCTCTCTTTCTTAACATTTTTAATCACAATTGTCTATTTTTGCTCATCTTAAATATATTTTTTAAACATTTTCTAAATGCTTTTTATATTTTTACAATTTTTGTTTTTGTGAAGCGCCTCGTGATTTTTATCTTGAAGCGCTAAAGAAATGATACTTTCTACTACTTCTTCTTTACAAAGTTGTACCACACAACCTGAACCTACATACTTTCACCATGCATATGCAACTTTAATCATATTCAACAAGTATAGTGAAATGTTTTAAACCATTTCTCAGAGAACGAGTCCTTTAATATAACCTCTAAAGTGCATTATTGTATTGTTTCTGCTCACATTTAGTTTCCTAAACAACCAAATGGTTTCTAAAGAACTGAAAAACTCATTTAAAACTAAATCTGGAGCAGATGTTTGCTGCTCTCACTCTCTGAAGTTTTTGCAG